GTGCTCTCACTGAAGTCTGTATGACAAACAAACAGCACAGAATGTTGACAACGTCTGGTTTAAGATCAGTAGCCCACAAGTGGCAAGATGCTCTTTTTTATTGCTGAATGCAGTTCTCTCTACACGTACATATGCAATGTTCTTGTGTATAGGTGGAATCCTGGTGTTTGCTGCCAGCAATACATGATGGTCAGAGCATTGTCTGGACATTCCACACTGTTTTCCCAAAACCTGAAGAAATAGCATGTATTCCCATGAATTTAAACAGAAACATCTCCTGTGTACCCACAAGCCTGATTTAGTTGTGACTTTGTTGTATCACTTAAGTAACCACTGTAGGATGAATGAGTTGTACGTTGTCAGCCTCAGCCAGTTCGTAAAATCGAGTTCCATGGGGGATATACAAGCACAGGTTCCCTGCTCCCAAATATTCCCATGTAGCTTCAGTGTGGTGGGATTACCCTGACAGCTGGGATGAGGTGGCTGCACGGTCCCTGTGGCTGGGTGTTTACACTTGTGCACGTACACACAAACACACAAAGGCAGCTGGCAGCGATTGGATTCATCCCGTGGGAGCAGAAGCTTGATCTTGCTGAGCTGGTTGTGACTGAGGAACAAAAGCTGGTTGCTCTGAGAGAACCAGAGTGTGGCAGTTCCACGGCAGCACTGTCCTGCTGTGTGCCCCTGGCTGGCACAGTGGCTCACTGAGAGGAGGCCGGGGGGCAGAGGTTGGGTTGCTGCAGGCCTAGCTAAAAGGAATGCTCTCTTCCATCCCCTCTCCCAGGCTGGCATTCAGAATGGCTGCAGTGCTAACACTGGGAAACACATCAGAAGGATGCACACCTGTTATACAAAATGTGTGATCCTCTAGTAAAAAAAAAAAAACAAAAAAAACCCCAAAAAAACCCAAACTAATAATTCCTTTGTAATTTAATACCTTCTGCCTGGTCTCTTTCCCTTCACTTCATCTGAGACTCCAGGGTTTGAATTCTCTGTAAACATCCCACTCTTTGCCACGGTGGCTCCTGACAAAAAATGGCTTTGACACAGTTAGGGTGTAATGAAAATCAAACTCAGTTGTCTTCTCACCCTTTTTCTATTTTTGTAAATAAATTAGTTCAGTGATTCAGATATTTTATAAGAAGGGGTGGTATTTTCTATCTTTAAAATAATACAATATCAATTTTGATTTAAAAGCCCAAATCTGTCAAGCCTAAAGAGTGACCACTCATTTCCTTTTCCACTGTCTTCCAAAGAATCCTTATTTCGTTCAGAGAAAGTTTCCCCATTTACATAGTGATTCTTCTTTATGGAAGGGTTATTTTCATTCTCTTTCTCAGACCTTTTCCTATAGATGGGAACGGGGGAAGGAGCCCAGACGTGGCAGCTCATTCACAGGCTCCTGCAGGACCACCATGGCTTATGATGGCGCCAAGAAGAAAGAAGGTATGACTGCTTCGTAATCTCGGAGGGATTTGCAAAAAGAATAAACAAATAAATTTTTAAAGGGTGCCCTTTGCAGCCCTTGCCAGGCCATGCAGTGAGAGTGGGAAAGAAGTTAGGGTGCTGTGGAGCCCTTAAATTTAACCTGGCCAGGATACTGGAGCCCTTCACTTTCAGGTGTAAAGTACTGGGTTTAGAACTTGAGAGAAATGGGTGGTATTTCCTACTGCAGACACCCTGACTGGGAACTCTGCCACTGCAGCCTTTCTTCTCCCTGCCAAGTCAAAGGGACAGGGGATGAGGGATAATGATACATTTAGTCATGGTAACATTTCTGGGTCCACTTGTATTTAGGAAGGAGCATAGAGGCATTAGGGATTAGATCTGGGATGATTGTGTTAGAGCACCAAGCCCCATCCCTCTGGTCAGACAGTACAGACTGTATGTTACCTTTCAGGCCTCTGTGCCAGTATCCTCTGTTAGCTTATTTTATGAGTGGTCCACTTGTCTGTCACCCCTTAATGTGGTGTTTAATTTCTTTTTTCCCATTTCACATAAATCACAGAGTCCCTAGAGAGTCACCGAAGTGTTGATGACGGGCTGGCACCTGGCAGGATACAGCGAGAGAAAAAGCGCTCGTACAAGGATCTTCTGCAAGAGGAAGATGAGATAGCAACTCAGGTAGAGACCCTCAGAGAAAAGGTTCTAGATGTGAGGGGATATGCATAAAGGTAGTGATGAGTTGGGATGGGTTTCTTGTCCTTTTTTTGATTTGTTTTTTATTTAGAAATGCATGTAGAAGACAGCAAGAGCAGCTAATCATGTCCTGTATTGTTCAGTAACTTTCCTGAGGAAAAGGGGGGGGCGATCCCTGATTCCAATTTTTCTGGCCTCAGAAAATAAGGTACTAGGAGTGTTGTCCCTGAGTTGATGGGATATACCTTGCAACTAAGAAAATGCTATGAATAACTTCTTACACACATTTTTTAAAAAATAGCACTTACAGTTGTAGAAATAGGCAGCAAAGGATGGATAAAATATTAACTGATGCACTGTTGTCATCCTGATTCTGCAGACAGCCTGAAACTGTAGCTCTGCAGAAGAATGAACTTGCCCTGTTTACCTCTTTGGGGCCTTAACTCTTGAAATAAGAGTTGCACACATAGTGAGTGCCACATAGTGGCAACTTAAGTTTCTTCAACGCTTTTCTCCTTGAGCTACAATTTCTGCTGTTAGCTCAAAGGTGGCTATCTAGTGATTTGGTTTTTTTTTAATCTCAAAAGCAAGTTCTTGTTTAAAATTAAAATCTTCTACCATGTGGTTGGAATTCTTTAGAGGAACTTTAATTTCTGTTTCATAAATTGATCAAGCCACAGATAACAATTAGTTGACATGGCATATTAAGGACATATTTTTTGTCCCATCATTCTGGTTGTCATCTCTTTGTACATCCTGTTACTTCTTTTTCAGCATAGTAAGCATGAACTGTTCTCCTTTGTTTTCAAGACTTGACAGTCTATGTATCTGAAGTTATTTCTTAGCTTTATTAAAGGGTAGATATCTGTCTTTATCAACTTATCAGCTGATTTTCAAGTGATGGCTTGCATTGCCCATATCTCAACACTTTGCAAATGTGCTTTTTCTTTTCTGTCGCTCCTCTCACTTGGGGGTCTCCCTGCAGAGATCTCTCAGTTTCCTTGGAGCCCTGTTGTGCTGCTGTGCCTACAGAAAGCTCGATGTCAATTAGGTGACCTTTGTGCTGAAACCAGTCCTGACTAATGATATATTTTGTATTCTCCCACCTATCTGTAGCATGTGTTTTGTCTTACTTTAAACCTACACTGTGTGCTCTAGGGGACAGAGTAGGTTCTCTTTAGCACCTAGAAAGATTATCCTGTGTCATACCTACGGATCCTTGATGTTACAGCAGTTACCTCCTATAAATTTTTATCTGTTAATTGTCCATGTGACTCTCATATTATTTTCCTCCTTTTTGACAGCAACTGTTGTCTTCTTATTCCAGGACAGTGAGTTTTTTCCAGGGACAGAAGCTCACAAAAAGAAGAGAAAGCATTCCTCCGATGAGTTCTGCTACAGAGGTAAGGTAGTAATGGAGCAGGAGAAGGGGCTAACAGATCATGACTTAAGGAAAGGATGCTCTTAAACCAGTGTCATCAAGCTTTGTGGTTAGCATTTTACAGGACAGTACATCAACCTGCCTTAGAACAGCTAATCAGAAACCTGACACTGATCAGCACCGGACAGCAGAAGATTAGGGAATTATATTTTCAGTCTGTCTTAACAAATTGCCATTGTAAGGGGTAGAGATCTTCCATCCCCTTTTCATTGACAAGTTGTAGTTTTATAACTCATGCCTTCACATTTGACGTTTTTCTTGTTTATCAATTGCATTGAAAACAAATTATACTTACAGGTGGTATAACTTGCTCTGAATTTATAAAAATAGAATGTCTGAGGTTGAAAAATAAATGCTTTTCTGTTCAGTTAGTCTCACAATTAATAAGTTGGCCGGAAAATAACAATTTGGGTCATAGAAGCTTAACACATTTAGGATTTATTATTGGCTCAATAGAAGTAGAAGGCCAAGCTGAAATTTAATCTTTCATCAAAATCTGTCTACAGAACGAAAAAGCTCATATTTTCAATTCATTGGTTTCACCTTGACTAAAAATGTCACAAAAACCTTGCACTTGAGGTGTAATTTCAGTTAGATGTATTTTCATCAAAACATTTTATTTCACAGCTCACAAATGGAGTTTCACAAAACTTCAAGAACTTTCCTACTGTCTCTCCCTTCCTTAAATTGTCTGACCAGCTCTCAGGTGTCACAGCCTCTGAATTGTATCAGTAAGGTTGTGCTGAACTGGCTGTGGTTCTTTTTAAGCCAGAATGTAAGTCTGTCACCTGTAATCAGGAGGCTCACAGGATTCTCACGTCTCTTCTTTGCTGTCTTTGAGGGAATCATCTCAATGTATGTATCATTTCTTTTGATCTTTTTCAGGTGTCTCGCCTTTGGATCTACCATCAAAGAAGAAGAAAAAAGCATCTTCTAGCCCATCCTCAGCTGATACAACCATGGATTTACTTAAGGCTGTCAATTCACCTTTGGCCACAAGCTCAAAGTCTTCAAAGAGGACCTCTGAAAAATCATCTCATTCTTCCTCTGGCCATTCTGAAAGCAGAAGGGAACATCCCAAGAAGAAGCTGAGTGGGAGTAGCGGGGAGCACTCAGTGGATGACAGCAGCTCCCACAAATCTAAAAAAATGAAGCCTCTCTACGTGAACACGGAGACTCTTACTCTCCGTGAGCCTGATGGCTTGAAGATGAAGCTCATCCTTTCACCAAAAGAGAAAAGTAGTGCAGCAGATGATGATTCTTTATCCTACTCTTCAGCACCAGCAGCTGCAAAGAAATCTTCAAAGAAATCAACTCGAGATGAGCAAGGCTCATTCCTGCTGGGGCATGATCTGCAGAACTTCCTGAAGTCATCCCGGAAAAAGCACAAACCACCTCCGGACTCACATCCACCTTCTGAGAGTTTTGGTGCTGACACCTCCCTTCATTCAGAGGGCCATGGAAGCGAGTACGAGGTTTCAGGTGTGGAGGCACCGCCAGAATCTGGTTCTTCTTCTGGTGGAGAGTTGGAGGCTGGAGAGCTGGTGATAGATGACTCCTACCGGGAAATCAAGAAGAAGAAGAAGTCCAAAAAAAGTAAGAAAAAAAAGGACAAGGAGAAACACAGAGAAAAGAAGCACTCCAAGTCTAAAAAGAGTTCTGGGCACTCTCCTGTGGCAGTAGCAGAAGTAAGAGTGTCGCCACCACCTGCCAGTACCCCCTATGTTGTCCCTCCACCTCCTCCTGCTGTTTTTCACTCAGATGGTCAAGGTGAGAAGAGGAGGAAAAAGGAAGACAAGGAGAAGGACAAGGCTGAGAAATGGGAAAAGGAAAAGGAAAGAGAAAAGGAAAGAGAGAAGGAGAAGGAAAGAGAAAAAGAAAGGGAACGAGAAAGAGAAAAAGAAAAGGAAAGAGAAAAGGAGAAGGAAAGAGAAAAAGAAAAGGAAAGAGAGAAGGAGAAGGAAAGAGAAAAAGAAAGGGAACGAGAAAGAGAAAAAGAAAAGGAAAGAGAAAAGGAAAAAGAAAGAGAAAAAGAAAAGGAGAGAGAAAAGGAAAGAGAAAGAGACAAAGTAAGGAAAATTTGAAGGGAAAATAGAAACTGGGTGGTGGGTAAGGGTGAATTAGGCACTCCATTACAAAGGCGTGTTAAATTGAAACAAAGGATAACTGATACCAATTATCAATGGTTTAACTGAAGCATGTTTGGAAAAATGTGTCAGCCACTGTGATTTCTGTTTGTAGCAGAAGGAATATATGTTCCTCTGGCATTGTGGCACAGACTAGAGGTTCTCTGGGAAAATTATACTTAATTTTGCTTGGTGTGGGTCATGTACCAAGCACATCTGCATCTTTTTGTAATGTGACTGGCTCTATCCAAAAGGCAGACGACTTTTGGACTAGTGATCAAAGTTCCTGTAAAAAGGAATCAAGTCATTACTTGAAAATTGAAAATATTTACCCATTTACTTCTGTATTCAAATGAAATTCTAATACTAACAGACTTCCATGTTCCCATTTTTGTCCTGTACTTATATATTCAGTTTTCCATGATTACTGCATAAAGATAAGAGTAGCAGTAGTGGTAGCTATCATGTGAGCGAGTTTACAAATGAGATAACTGTAGCTGTGTAAGTAAATAGGGAAAAGCAGCTTGTGCATGTTCAGATAGAGAAATAATGCTTTGTGTGAGGAAATGGACAGACAGAGCCCAGATCTCTTCAGCCATTATCCTATTCTGTTTGGGGATTTTTCCCTGATCATAGCTCAGCAATTGCAATACCTTTGCTGTCAATGTACTGCACGGTCTCTTTTCCTGCCAAGTGGAAGTACTTTGTAACAATGCAAGGAATGGAACAAAACATTATCACAAGGACTTAATTGATTTGACAGATCTATAATAGGTACTGTGAATTGTATAACAGATACTGGATTTTATTATAGGTTTTAAAACTGAAATACATTAACAAAGTTGTATGTTGATCCTGAATTTAGACTAGCAGCTTCTTGAGTTGTACAACATAAGCCTTGTACTAAGACTGTTTCTGGCTGATTCCTGTGCTTTCATAAAGACTAAATTCAGCCAGGAGACGTAAAGGACTGCTTTTTAAGTTTTCCTGACCTAAGTACCATATCTTTCTTTAAGTCTTTAATAAATGCCAAGTTCTTATTAAATTTAAGAAGGTCTCATCATAATTTAAAATCTTTGTTTTCTTTCTTCTTCTGACTAGCCAAAGAAGAAAAACATGTCTGCTTATCAAGTGTTCTGTAAGGAATACCGTACAACTATTGTGTCTGAGCACCCTGGAATAGGTAAGGGAATAATCCAGCCTTCTCTTCTCTTGATTTTACACCAGTCAGGTTAATTAGCAGAACATATTGTCTCTTCTTCATTTTGGCATAATGCAAAGAATCTGCCGATGTTTTTTAGACTAAGAGATGGCAAAGGGGCTAGGAGTGGTCGTATTATAATTTTATTTTAACTAAGTTGTGAATGTAGGTAAAGAACTTGCTAGCTTTTTCTTAATGTAGAGTTACCTTCTTTGTTGTCAATTTCCTGTAAATACACTCTGACTTCACCTTCCTGCTATCAGCTTTTTCTTTTTTTTTTTTTTTTTTAATTAATTTTAAAGAGTAACAGGAATGCACATTTTCAGGACAGTGTGGAGAGTTCCAGTTATAAAATGGCTTGCTTCCTAAATGTGTATGGAGGGGCCAGTAAATTTCCTATGTTCTCTACAGGATTTTATGATCAAATTTGTTTTAAAACTTTCCCTTTCCCTTTCCTTTTCCATCTTTCTTTTCTTTCTTTTTTTTTTTTTGCCAGATTTTGGAGAACTAAGTAAAAAACTGGCAGAAGTGTGGAAGCAGCTACCTGAGAAGGATAAACTGGTGAGTGTTTGTGTGAGATGTTTTTGTAAAATTATTTCTGTGAATTAGGTGCTTAGATCAGAATGTGGTGGCAGCATTGCCACAATGCCTTGAAATATGTTACCTACATCCTTAAAGCATGTAATGGTGGAAAGTATGGAAATCTTGCCCTTGCAAACAGAGCGTTCATTTTGTTCTCATGGGATTGCTTCACCTCCTAGCTATGTAATATCATTCTGCCTTCAGGTGTTGGCATCAGGTAACAGAATTACCTAATGTTATGAATCTTTCTTTTCTTACCATGGTAACTACAGATCTGGAAACAGAAAGCTCAGTATCTCCAACACAAGCAGAATAAAGCAGAGGCCACCACTGTGAAGAGAAAGGCATCATCTTCAGATGGTGCACCAAAAATGAAGGGTAATTGTTGCACTTTATTTGTCTCATCTCTTTTCTTGGACAGAGAAGGTAGTTTTGCCTGTGGAATAAAAAACAGAGGTCCTTACCTGCTTTCTCGCAAAGCATGACATTTAAATCACTATAGTCAAATTAACTTTTCTGTGAGAGTGAGAATGATGTCAGCATTTTTCATAAATATTTCCTTATCTGATTCATAGAATGGTATTGGTTTTGGCAGTTTAAGGATTGAAATGTAAAAGAAGAAGAGGCAGAAAGGAGGTTCTAGTGGGACTAGTTTGCTGCTAGAAAGAAGATGGTTGTTCTTGGTTTAGCATCTCTGATACCAAACCTTCCCAATTGCATTCAGCTGAGGTAGACATTCTGTACATGTAAGAAAACAGTTTCAACTCCAAAGAATATGGGACTGGGGCAACAGAAATACTAAAGCATCATGCCTATGAGATTTGAACTTTAGTAACTAAATAGGCTTGTGAGTAAAAGAGTGAAAGCAAGGAACATAAAATTTTAATTAGTGTGTTTTCCAGCTTCTCCAACAGGAGTGGTTTCTCCTCACAAAAAGTCCCCCACCAGCACCGTGGTGGTGCCTTCTTCACCAGCCAAAGCCCCTGAGACAGATCCCATTGATGTGGCTGCACATTTGCAGTTACTGGGTGAATCCCTGAGCCTCATTGGACACAGACTGCAGGAAACAGAGGTGAGCTTGTAACAGTAATGTCACAGTGATGTCCTGTAATCTACACAATGCATTCAAGGAGATGATTATTTTATTTTCTTAAAAGTTTAACCAGTGGTTTTCTGTTAGGAAGACAAGCTAGAGGTGGCATGCCCTGTTTCTTTGATGCATTGTTTATCTTCAGTGAAATAAAAGGCTTCAGTAAACAGTAGGCATCAAAGAAAGTCAGGTGCTTTGCAGTTCTAGGTCCTTGAAACCAATTTGTAGTCCAGCAAACTCTTCAGTCTTTTCTTGCTGTATGCTCACCTTGAATTTAGTAGTTCCTTGCTATTTTGTCAGTCTCTGGTCAGTTTCTGTTACTGTTCTACTTTTTAGAAAACTCTCAACCTTTTCCAGGAAGTTTTTTGCGTGTCCTCTAGTTTTCTGGCGGTATCATATTGCCAGTGCTTTGGATAGGGGCTACAGTTGTTTCAACTTACGTGGTAACATAATGTCACATTTTAATGGTTTCCTGCTCTTAAATGACAGTGACTCTGAATGCACATTCACACGTCTATGCTCTGAGAACTCAGCCCAGCTTCTAAGGAGAAAACATATTTGTCTCAAATAATATCACTGAGTTTTATCAGTAGCATGATAATCTCATCCCACTGTGCTTGCTTATTTTATCAACAGTGAAATAAATGTACTTGTGTTTTGGTTTTGGTATGACTGATTTGAGATCATGAGAGGAACAGCCAGAGCCCAGAAAAGCACAGAGACAAATTCCCTTTCCTGAAGGTATATCAATGACTAAAGCATTTGTTACGGGCTTAGCATTTCTTTAACTTCAAAAATAAAACAACTATTGTGATTAGGACTCATGTAGTTACAAAATAGATGGTACAAAATGGCACAGAAAATATATTGAAAAAATTTGTGGAATCAGTATTTTATGCAGCTAACAATTTTCTGGCATTCTCTGTTGATTCCTGCCTTTATCTTGCACCTGTTTTTTGCCTACTGAAACGTAAATTTTTTGAGCCAGCAGTTTCTCTGTGAAGGACAAGGCACAGTTTTGTTACTGTGTAAATAGTGAAAGTGGACTGGAGGAGCTGAAGATACAGTATCTGCATGAGAGTGGATACAGTTGAGAAAGAAGCGCAATTTCCACTCCCCATCCCTATCCAATTTTTTTCTTCCCTCCCTACCAGGGAATGGTGGCTGTTTCAGGAAGTTTGTCAGTACTCCTAGATTCAATCATCTGTGCTTTGGGCCCGTTGGCATGTCTGACCACACAACTGCCTGAGTTGAATGGCTGCCCAAAGCATGTTTTGGTGAGTTCTTTGTGGTTATTTTCCTTCTAGCACTGTTAATTTTAGTTGAGTACAAATAGAGCTTTTTTTGATTAATCAGTGTAATATAATTATAATTCCAATGCAATAAGAAAATTTGTCTTGGTCATGGGCTTTTATAGAGGAATATTTATTGAAATCCTTGCAGATATTACCATTGTACAATATTGTGCAACCTTTTTTTCTCCCAGTGGCAACTGGCCTAATATTTGTAGCATTGACTGCAGTGTGGGTAGGTCCTGTTTTAGTCATGATGGAGTCAATCAATCTAAATCAAATAAAAGTGAACCAGGATTTTCAAAAGTTCTAATTTTCCATAAAAATAAAACCCACCTTCTAGCTGCTCTTTATCCCACAACCTGGTTTTCCTTCAGTAGCATAAAAAAAACAATTTGTAGTCTCAGGATTCCTAATGTGATAGTGTAGGATCTTTTACAAGTGGCTGAAATCTTCTCTGAGGAAAGAAAAATAGTCTCTCTCTTCAGGAGCTGCATAACTACAGTTGCTTTTCTGCTTTAAACTACTCTTAATATTGAGCCCTGATTTAGCAACAGCTCATGGCATCTGTGTAGCCTCATGTGGACATAGATTAAGATGGCAGCAGCCATCAGGAATCATACTGTCATACTTCCTACAAGAGACATGAATAAAGCAGCAAAGGAGAGGAGCAAAAATAAAAAAAAATACAGTCTGCAAAAGTTAAGAGACTAAAAAATCTGGAAGAGGGGGCAATGAAAATGGGTTATGAATTGACATGTCATAATTGTGCAGCCCAAGCGTTTATTCGTTACAAGAATGGACTGTCAACAACAGGAACAAAGTTGACAATTTAGTCTGTGAACACCCACAAACTGGCTCTATGCACAAAAGCTGAGTCAGTGGGGTGTTCCCATCTTAACCATGGAAAAACTGATGCTTTTTTTCCTTCCTGCTTGCCAAGTTTATTCAGAGCAGTAACGCCACATGACCAGTGGCGCGTTTATTAGAAACTCGATCAACTTATTGTTACAAGGAGCAATGGAGCTTTAAGTGAATTATGGCTGCTGTGCTTCACTTCTGGAAACCCGTGTTCAGGAGTTGATAATTAATCTGATTTTCACAGTCAGGTACATAACAACAGTGCTGTTCTGAGACAGGGATAAACCCCAGCGGTTGTGTTGCAATCTATATTTGAGACAGTAGGTGGCATTGCTAAATTCTAGAATCGCAACTGGTGCAGCTCCAGCTCCTCCGTCTCTCAGTAAAAGGTGCTGCTGCAAAGGTCTCCTTCAGCTATCCAGCCACAGGCTTGAGCCTACTGAAACACTGCTTCTGAAAAACATACAGCTAGGTCTTTTTTTTCTGATGGGCATGAGAAGGACTCCTACTCTCATAATTCTGTTACATTTTCCAAGAAAAATTGACAGGCACTTCTTTTTGCCATCTGACACGCTGTTAGAGGTGATCAATAGACAGCTTTGTTTGTCTCATCCTATGATAACTTGTAACCTAAGTAACTGTATTAGTACCCTCACCTGTGCCAGTTTTTAAGGATTTCAGGTTATAACCTGACACTAAAAACCACTGAATTTCTTTTTCCAGTCAAACACACTAGACAACATTGCCTACATCATGCCTGGACTTTGATGGGAAAGGATCCTGGGATGTACTCAACCTCTGTGTAACTGACTTGTGTACGTGCACTACACCAGCGCTCCCGAGGGGCTCCATGTGGAGGCTTTTAAAGTTTTATATGTGTATAGTATATACATAGGATTGTAACTATTTGACTTGTATTTTATGAAAAGTTGTGAAGGTAAGCTGAGAAAACCCTTTTGTGTTGGTGGGTGAAATGTCCTCCAATCTGAAAGTATTTTGTATGAAGAATTCAGAAAGCTTTTGAAATATTTGCCTTAAATTCAGATTTTTTGGGGGAAGCAAACAGAGAATGGACTTCTCAATATAAACAAGAAAGCTGTCACCATGAGAGGAGTCATTGAAACAGGTGGCCCAGCGAGGTTCTTGACTCTCCTTCCTTGATGATATTCAAAACTGAACGAGCACCCTGCTCTAGTTGGACTTGCTTTAAGCAGGGAGATAGACCAGATGGTCTCCTGATATCCCTGTCCAAACTAAAGTATTCTGATATTCTGTGGGCAGGTAGAGATGATACATTTTGGACCAGGGAATAGAACTGAATTCTTCACCAGCCCTATTTGTAACTCTTTCTGTTTAAAACACGCTTCTTGAGGGGAAAGCTGGATAGCTTTTTGCCTCTTGGTCACTTTCTCCAACCCCCACACCTCAGTCAGTAATAAGTGAAAGTTGTCAGTGTCAGCTTGCTGGTCTGGTAGCTGGCATTTGAAGTAAAGCAGATGACAAGAAGTTTAATTTTTCCTTGTGGACTCAAATCATCATTAGCACAATGTATCAACCCATGGATTGGCTTGAGAGAATGAACCTCCTGCTGATTTTTCCACGGCATGGTCAGGCTGCTTCGACGGAAAAGAGTAGAGAAGCAGAAGGGAAAAACTTGGATTGCTTCTGCCCGTCTTGCCCCTGGTTTGTGAAATGGCTCATCCCCCATCTCTCTCACCAGCACTATTGCAGGAGTGCTGTGGTGCTGCTGCAAGGCAGCCACCAGTGGCCAGTTGGAAGCAGTTACGGCCAAGTAAGGCACATGTGGGTTGATTTGACCGGTTTCCCTTCCTTCCAGCCACATACTTGGAGTTTGGTTTTCTGCTCCTCTGGAAGAGGAGCGGCAGGAGAACACTTGATTCCTTTTTAGGCTTTTGTCTGTGTGTATGTATGTGTATGTGGTGTTCATATCACATGTATTTAACTTTTACCAGTATCTGTAACAGATTTTAATTTATCCTGTATATTTCTCTGTGTGTGTATATATTTATATATATATATACATAATTTAAAAGCAAAAATTCCTCCCTCAGCCAACAGTGTGTGTAAAATGTGAATCAAGTTTGTCTCAGTTCACTTCCTGCAGGAATCAACTCTATGTGTAGTAGTAAACATGGGCATTGTGTAAAGAAACACCAGGAAGATTCTAAGAGTTTGTAGAAACAGGCTATCTTGTGAAGGTGGGTAGAGCAACTGAAATATCATTTGACTCAGGCCTTATCAGCTCTGTAACAGGAAAGTTTTTTAATTAGAGAAGGGGCATTTTTTACTTCCAAGTAAGTCTAGCTTCTGTTTTTTAGGACAGTTGAAAGTGACCTGTCCCTCATTGCAGCTGAGCCCCAAATCAGAAGTAAATTAAATCCTGGGGTGTGGAGGGTTTTTCTCCCCATGCTTCTTTGCCACGTATTCCCCAGATGTGCCTGTAGAAGGTAGTCTGTCTCTTACAGATCTTTTCTCAGTGCAGTGAGGGGTTTTCTCAGCAGAGGAGGCACAGAAGGCTCTCAGACCACCAGGCCAGAACACATGTTTTAACAGCTTAGGACAAATCCCAATGGGCCTGGAAATAGGAAGGGCCCAGGAGGGAGGCAGTCCAATCCTGCTTCAGATCCTGGCCCATACTAAAGCGTCTGCTGTTGTGAGCAGCACAAAGTACCCGGCTCTTTCCAGCCCTTCAGAGCTGAGAGCATTGTGGTGAAGGGGTAGATCTGCTTTTGAAGAAACAGAAGGGGATCAGCTTTAGCTTTGTCCTCTGTTAACAACTGAAAACTCTTGAAGAGTGAAAAACACACACAACCCTGGTGTATTGTATTTTTTATTAAAATTTGTACACTTTGTATAATCTGTATCTTGTGGTATTTGGTACTATAGGGAAACTTTGTCAAGACTTAGCAGTTTTTATATTTTTGTTATTTCTTTGCTGTTTGGTCCAGATTACATTACAATTATACACAAACTTTTTTGTACTGTACTTACAATATAATTTTTTTTTAACTTCTGGAGTATTGTCATTCATTTCTGGCATGTTCTGTTTTCTGCAGCTGTTGTTACTACTTGTATGTAGTGTTCTCAACAAAACACATCCAATCCTTACTCTCCTAAACTCACTCACTTGGCAGGCAAGCTGTACTGTTTCCAGCAGTACCCAGATTATTGCTCAGGTTCCTGCCTGCTTGGGAGCCCCCAGAAGGGAGATGTGGCATGGAGCACTGCAGGTAACATCAGGGCATTTGTGTTCCCTGCTGCCTCACCTGCGTTCAGCTCCATGGCGTTCAGGTGACACCAGTACACGGGACTCAGGTGTGTGGTGCAGGAAGTCAGGCGTGGCAGCGTCACAGCGGGATTTGTGCTGGTTATTAACACGTCCCCATTCTGCAGGTATGGGTGTTGGTTGATTGCAGCCTCAGCTTGGGCAGGGCAGTTGCTTGGGCCAGGAGCACATCCCAGAACGTGCCAACCACCCGTGTAGAGTCACAGGATGCTTTGGGTTGGAAGGGACCTTAAATCATTTCCAACACCCCGGCCACAGAGACACCTTCCACAAAAAATTTGCTCAAAGCCCCATCCAACCTGACCTGGAAGACTTCCAAGGCTGGACACCCACAACTGGCAACCTGTCCCAGCGCCTCACCACCCTTACAGGAAAGAATGTCTTCCTAACTCCTACCGGGAGTATCGGGAGTCCTCCCTACTCACACCGGGCTATGGAAAACTAAAGCCACGGCCACAGGCTTTCCGGGCTTTGGGCATGGCTCAGGCTCGGGGGTGTTTGCACGGGCTCGCCGTGGCAGAAAGCGGCGGAGGCTCCCGGCGGCGGGGGCCCCTCGGTTCCCGCGGCCGGGGGCTAAGGGCCGGCAGGACCGGGGGCCCCTCGGTTCGCACACCGCCCTACCCGGCAGCCGCGGCCGCTCTGCGCCTCCCTCAGCCCGTGCACGGCGGGGCCGGGAGGCCCGGCGGGCCCGCCCCGGCCGGCGCGCGGGTCACGTGAACGGCGGCGGCGGCAGCGTCAGCTGATCGCGGCGCGGCGGCGGCGGCGATGGACTTTCTGCTGGGGAACCCCTTCAGCTCGCCCGTGGGGCAGCGCATCGGTGAGAGCCGCACCCGCGCCCCCCGACCCTCCCCGCGGCCCCGCTCGCCCGTCCGGGCCCGCGCCCCCGGGGGCGTCCGCCGGACCCTTCCTCGGGGAAACGCCGGGCCCGCCTCCGCGGCGGGACCAGCAGCGCGCTGGCCAATCAGGAGAGAGTTCTGCTCTGACTGACGGGTGCTGCGGACCAATAGCGGACGCGCAGCCCGAGGCGGCTCCGTCGGGGACCCCGCCAGCCAATCCGGGCGCGAGGGGGTCTCGGGGTGGCGAGGTGAAGTTTGCTCCCTTAAAGGGGCCGCAGGCCGGTGGTCCGCGCCACGCCCCCCGGCACCGCCGAGCCCCGTGATTGGCCTGGGGCCATTCCCGCCCGCGCCTCTTCGGGGGCTTCGGGGCGCTGCTGATTGGCTGGGCTCCAGCCAGGGCAGCCTATCGCGGCCGGGCGGGAACGGGGCGCGTGACCCGCGGCGGCACGAGGGGCGCGCGCGAGACCCCGGAGGCTGTGGGGACAGCGGGACTGAGGGGACAGCGGGGCTGTGGGACAGCGGGGACAGCCGGGGCTGAGGGGACAGCGGGGCTGAGGGGACAGCGGGGCTGTGGGACAGCGGGGACAGCCGGGGCTGTGGGGACAGCCGGAGCTGAGGGGACAGCGGGACTGAGGGGACAGTGGGGCTGTGGGGACAGCGGGGCTGTGGGACAGCGGGACTGAGCGGGGCTGAGGGGACAGCGGGACTGTGGGACAGGGACAGCCGGGGCTGTGGGGACAGCCAGGGCCGCAGGGCTGCGGGAGCAGCAGCCTCAGGCTGGGCTGGCCCTGGGGCACACGGCTCGCCCAGTGGCACCAGTGTCCCGTACCCAAAGGACTGAGGCGCTGGGCAGCTGGGGGTGTTTGCCCGCCCGAGCCTCCCCGCTCTGAGCTGTGGGACAGCGGTGCCTGGCAGGGCCATGCCCTGGCTCCTGCTGCACGAGCTCTTCCATCTGGCTGCAGCTCACAGCATAGAGCACCGGCTCCAGCAGTGAACACAGCACCCACCCTGTGCCCTGCAGGCCCACGGGCACATGGTGTCCTGCAGTCCCTGTGCTCAGGGCAGCTTGGGGAACATGGGAGAAGGATGAGGCCTGAGAAAGTGAGCAGACATGCCGCAGTTAGAAGAAGTCTGTCAGACCCGCACTGGTGTCAGAACAGGGATGCTGTTCTTAAAATGCTTAGAATGAAGACTCTGTTCCCATGTTGTATTGCCTAAGGGCCTTGAAGTTGTGCTTGAAGGCTGATGCCTATTTAAACTCTCCAATTGTAAGTTTATGCACTTGCTCATTCTTGCTGTTCACTGCTTGTCAGACCTTTGCTGTTTGCTGTGACCATCCGGTCCCACATTTGGTGTCCTTGCATGGGTGAATAGGAGGCTGTGCCTGGACAGGGAACAGAGCAAGCAGCTGCTTTAAGTAATGCTTTTATTATAATGATTTTAGAGTCTATCCTAACACCGTCACAAAGTGTGTCGGGGCATTGTGATGTGCCACTCTGGTGTTGGGACAGATAGGTGAGATCCATTACAGCCAGGTGGTGGAAGAATCATGAGGGAAGACTTTGTGTTACCAAAATCCACCAGATTATCTTCAACACAGCCCCAGAAGGACATCACATGTTTCATCACATGTTCCAGGAGAAGCCATCTCCTGCCCTTTCCTGAATGAATGCTCTTTGTTCCCTCAGTGAGTGCATCAGATATGTCCTTGTGTTTGGGTAGAGGCAATCTGAAGGTTGCCTCACAGATCTGGTCAGTTTAGTAACTAGATTGTAAGTGGGTTATACCTCTAGGCTTTGTTTCAATTAAATAAGGGATTCCCAAGCAACAAACCAATAGCAAAGAAGAGGAAAAAAGAAAAGGTATTTCAAAAGTGTTCTCCGAGAGGAGCTGAGAAGCAGAGGTGTGACACTAGGGAGATCTTACCGACAATCTTACTTGGGGTTATGGGAGTCCAAAGAGGTGGAGGAATTAGAGTGTGTGAGAAAGGAACTTTCTGGAGGATTTGAAAGGGGTGGTGATTGAAAATATGAATATTTTCTCCTTTTGAACATTGCCTATCAGCATCCTGGGGACGTGGATAAATGCTATCTTCCCTGCTTAATTTGGGATGCAGACATGACTTCCCCAAACTCGTTTGGTAGGTCTGTGGCAGCTGCGTGTCCGGCCCGTGAGCCTGATCACCAAACCTGCACAGTGCTGCTGCCCTGGGCTGTCTGCAGAAAGATAATGCTGCGTCCTTGTCAATTATTTGGGCAAAGTCATGTATGCTTGATATAGCTTATGAAGTCTAAAATAGCTTTAGATGAAGGCTAAGGAAAAAAAAAAGTCCTCTGTGGCCGCTGCATCAACGTTCTCAAATTCCTTCATTAATGTTAATCTAGTAAAACCCATTTATTTTGCTGACTAGGAAAGCAATGCTCAGATAATCTCAGTGATCTGTCACAGCATGAGTCAGTTGCAGAGGAGTAGGTTTTCTAGTTTCTTACTCACAGTTCTGAGATTCAGTCACAAAAGTTGCCTCTCCTGTTTTTGCACTGTGATGTCTCTAACAAAGTGAGAGGAATACAGACTTGCTTGTTTGGGATTTTTTGCATTTGTTTCTGTTTTGTGGTGGGTTTTTTTAAACACCAGTGGTGAGTGATAAAGCATCACTCAAAGACTGGTAAAGCATCATAGTTCAGACTCCCACCTGGAAAGGGAAATCCACTATGCCTCCATCTAGGAGCTAAGAGAAGCTTTTTCCCCATTTTCAAAATAGAAAATCCAATTTCAAGAAGGTGAATTGTCTCTGAGGGAGAGAATGGAGAAGAAACCACCAATGGTCTCTCCTCACCCTGGAAGTCTAAAATAGCTAGTAATTATAGCAATACCAAAAGGAACAGAGGCAGGTTATTTCAGTGAGTGAGGGCAGGCAAGGGATAGAAGTAACAGTGTAGCACAGAGGTGACACAGATGTTTTTTATGGATGGGGGTTATTTTAAGCATGAGGACCAGGAAAAGTTGAGACTGTAAAGAGGGAGCAAGTAAGTAAGGCTCCTGGGTGAGGAAAAGAGGCAGATGCAAGACAATATACCAGAAAAATCCCCACAACCTTTTGGATCCCACCTTGCAGCTGTTCCTGCACCCCTCTGTGGGCTCTGTGGGTCCCTGCAAGGTTGTACTTCTCAAAAAGGTATTGCCTTGTCTTCTGTGCCTGCTCTGTCTGGAGGAAAAGGGGCAAAGGCATCAGTTGAAGAGTCACTTGATCCCTGAGAATTTGAGCTGATTCACAGGAAAGGAGCAGGAGTTCAGAGACACCCATACCCACACCACTGTGTCAACACAGTCTGTCCATCCCCATGCTTGAGTTAGGTTTGGAGCTGTATCTCTGGTCTCTCTAGAATGCACACTGTCCTCTCAGGCTTTGGGGGAAGGATACAGCTAAATGGTGAAGTCCTGACAGAGCTGGTGCTGAAGTTCCCTCAAGGGAAGTCAAAGCATGAGGCTGGTACAGGGTGCTGATTTGGGCCTGTGAGTTTGTGAACTTGAAGGGAAGTTGGAAGAAGAGACATCTTGCATTGCTTTCTGCTGAACCTGAGCTGTGATGAACGGCTGGTGTCCTCAAACACCTGTTGAAAGGGGTGAGAAGGTGCTTGATGCTTTGCTGAGGAACTTAGAGCCAGCAGGGAGCTGGCTGCACTGTTTGAAGGCTTCACTTGGAGGAGGAGCAGGGCATGTCACAGGCAAAGGATTTCTGAGCAGCATCTGGCTGGTTATGGGTGCTTAAGGCCTGGGGTGGGGAGCAAAGGGGACAGGAGCCCGCAGAGTACCTTCTGTCCCTGGCTCCTGTACCTCCCCACACTTCTGACTGCAGTGCTGGTGTGCTGCTGCAGGGACAGCTGAGTGGGATCCCCAGCCCCAGAGTGTGCTCTCCCCTGCCACCAGGGCAGACACAATAACCTTGAAAAGAAGCAAACTTGTGGAATGTTTGTAGCACAAAGCAGAGTACAGCTCCTTTGTGCCAGTTATGCCAAGTGTTTGGAGTTCTTTGTTATCTGCTGGTTCCAAATAACTTTTATCACCTAGCTGCAGTCAGCAGGAGCACATCCAGTGCCACGCAGGAAAAGAGCCGATGCTCTGCTTCAACCCATACCACAGTCCTGCGTGGTTTGGGTCGATCTGAGCAATTTGTGAGGCAGCAGACTGGAATCAAGAAACCCCAATGCTGTCACACCCGGGGAGCTGGACTGGCAGCCAAAGCAATGTGGCTTTGGAGCAGCCCCATGAAGGGCCTCCTGTACATTCAGCAGCTGGTTGGTTTGGGGCTTGGAGGGGGATGGCATTCGCAGGCTCACGATAACCTCTGCCAGGGGAATTCTCTGCTGCAGGTCAGGCTCAGCTGGTAACACACACAAGTAGATGCTGCCTGATGACACCAGGCAGAGTGCTGGGCGTGTGGCAGTGCCCTGCCTCCTGTGCTCACTCTTTTTAGGGACTTGTCGCTGTCCCCAGCCATCCTGGGCTCAGATTTCCTGCAGAGCAGACAGCTCATGTGCTAATTACAGCTCATGAAATGGGGCCAGCCACCCTGATCCTTCATGTGACTAATTAGACTTTGTTTCCTCCCCTTCTGCAGGCTTTACAGAAGGGCAAAGTTCAGGATTTTGGAGAAAATTCCATATCTGACTAGGTTGGACAGTCTCTTACAGCTTGGAAGAGAGCAAGGAGGATTAGAAGGGCATTAGCTCCAGCTTTCCCAATGCCAGCTAGGCCAGGTCTTAATTTTTACTGGGTAAATTCAAGCCTTTTGTCCTTGGAATTGCCTCAGGGTCACATTATGTTTTCCATTTGCTCTAATACTG